TACATTTAAAAAAATAAAATATTTATTTTTTTTATTTGTAATTATATTCAAATTATAATCACAGGCAATAGGAAACTGGGAAGATATTTGGAATAATTCCAGAAATTCAAGAAATGCCGAAAATTCACCTCGAGTTGGTGAAACCGAGTGAGACGGAGCATTGAAAAGAAGGCTCATAAAGACGCAATCGAACAGTCTGTTTGTACCGTTTCACCCATTTTCCAAGTCCTCCCTTGGCGCGGATCCCCCTGACCCCCCGCAAACGAGGTGGAACCACATCCGCGTCCACACAGTACGGACAGGGAAAGTGGGTGACATGGGGACGCACAAACAGTGGCTGAAAAATGGACTTTTTTTAAAAAACACTTGCGGCAAATATTTTTTTGGTAAAGGTGATGGTGGTGGTCAATGTAGGTACCTTATCTAAACTCAATTAAATTTTTTTTATTATATTTTTGTAAAATTATAAAATTCAATACATTTAAAAAACTATTCCCTAAAAATAATTAAGAGTAAAAGAGCCAAGACAAATGCCATGATCACTGAAAGAGTCACAGCAGAGTCTTTGGCGGTGTGGTAAAAGCCATCTTTATCAGTGAAGCATTTGTCCATTTCTTTGTTGATGATATTTGATGGGGTTCCAGTACAGCTGTTAGATGCATCATAATCATTTTTAATGAACTTCCCATCTTTAATTTCCGTTTTTGTTGAAGTTGTTTCTGACGTTTTGATACACCCAGATTTAAGAAGTGTTTCTATTGGTCTTGCTTCACTTTCTTTGATTTTGCAGTCTTTAGCATCAATGTATGCATAATCAACTACTAAGTATTCTGGAAGGTTATCGACAAAGGACTGACCGTTCTTAAGATCAAAAGAACCATCATCATGCCAATCACCACAACCTGTTGTTGATGTGTAACCTTTGGCTTTTTTGTCTTCTCTCACATATTTAGTATAAGTGTTGCCTCCAGTATAATAACACTTATCAAGAAGATAGACATTCATGTATTCGTTATCCATGGACATAAGATATTCAGCTTGAGCTACAAACGCGATAAGAATGATAGAAATCATTTGATGTAAATTAGTTTATGACTCGAGTTTAAATAGTAATGTACACCTAATAATAACATGTATATTATCGTGAAAAATGGATATTTCATTCAATGTGTTAGATTCTTAATTTATATTGTTTTGTTTTTAAAAACAATATATAAAAAATATATACAATTCTGTTTATTAAATTGTCAATTACAAAAGATTGTATACCTATTCAAATATATAAAACTAATCAATTTATCATTATATTGTATTAATATTATTAAAACATGTTTTTTTTCTAAAATTAAAAAACAAACAACACGTCATTTCAGTTGTAATTTTCATCTTTGTTTGAGTTGAATTGTTTTAAAACATTAATAAAATTATAATATTATATCAAAATTATAATATAAAATGTTATTTAAAAATTATTATATTTGTTTGGTTAACAATCTATTTTAAACAACACATGTTTCAAAAATAAAAACATTAATATATAAACTATTGTTTTTTAAGTTTGAAACAACAAATTTAATATAAAACAGCAATCAAATAACAAATCATAACTATTTTAAATCGAATTAATGTGCTTGAATGAAATACCTTTTTGTGGATTTTTAAACATAACCTCCCCCGATTCAAAAAATCACATCACCACCTCCATATTACTTATACTAATTTTAAATGCGAAACACTTCATCTAATAATATAAAATAGTTTATTGTCTGTTATGAATACGTATGTTTGTACTTGATTGTTATATAGTAGTTCTTTCCAATACGACTTAACTAACATTAAA